GAGTCGGCAAAACAAGTCGTGCACGTCGAGAAAAGTATGCCACATTACTCACCCAGAATGTTCCCTTGCCAGTAAATTGCTTGCCTTCCTTTTTGCCGGACCACGATCCTTTGGCGAGGTCTTTGGGCGCGCAAGTGCCCCAACCCCATGGAATCATGTCGTTTTCGTCCTTCTTGCATCCTGGACCGCCACCAGCGCTAGGAGTCGAAGTAGTAGATCCGCTTCCAGTAGCGCCTGAGGTACTGCCTCCCGCACCTTGCGTAGTCGAATCTCCGGGCGTGCTCGAATCGCGAGAGGGACTAGACGGGCTGGTGGATGAAGGCGAAGTGTCGGTCGTACTTCCGCCAGCAGCGCCTCCGACTGCTGCGCCAGCCGTCTTGCTCTTCTCTTCTTTGCTCTTATTGGACTCGCTGCTACTTCCACCCGAGGAACCGGATTTTTCGGAGCCCGACTTTTCACTCTCTTTAGTTTTCTGCTCGCCGCTCTTCTTGGAATCGGTCGTGCTGCTGTTCGTGTCGGTGTCGCTTGCAGAAGAACCTCCGCTCTTTTCGCTCTTCTGCTCGCCGCTCTTCTTCGTCTCGCTGCTGCTCGAACCCGTGTCGGTCGGGCTGCTGGACGAAGGCGAAGAGCTGGGGCTAGTGGAGGATGGGGAGGAGCTTTTCTCCTTCTCCTTGCTCTGCTGCTCGCCGCTCTTGTTCGACTGGGATGTGCTGGACCCTACGTCGCTGGATGGGCTAGTCGAAGCAGGAGAAGTGCTAGATGGGCTGGTCGACGGTGAAGAGCTGGTCGAGGTGCCGCTACCGTAACCAGCACCGCTGCCTTGGCTGCTCTTCTCTCCAGAGCTCTTCTTCGTGTCGCTGCTGCTCCCGCCAGAAGTGCTTCCACCGCCCGTCTCTTTGGTCTTTTCGGCTTCTTTGCTCTTCTCCTCCCCGCTCTTTTTGGTCTCGGATGTGCTACTGCCACCGCTGCTTCCACCGCCACTTTCTTCCCTTTTCTTTTCGTGCTCTTCGCCGCTCTTTTTGGTGTCGGACGAGCTTCCGCCAGTGCTGCTTCCGCCGACACTTTCTTCCTTTTTCTTTTCGTGTTCTTCGCCGCTCTTTTTGGTTTCACCAGTGCTTGTGCTTGTGCCACCGCCAGCTCCTCCACCGATCCCACCGCCGACTCCCCCACCAACACCGCCACCAGATCCTCCACCGAAACCGCCTCCCCCTCCACCACCTGCTCCTCC